CCTCCCCGCCGTGGGGAAGTGAGTGGGGGTGGTGACACGTCTACTGACTCCCGAGGGCCTTGCCACCCGCCTTGTCCCATGCGCGAGATCCTGCCGGCCTGCTGTGAAGACCGGTCTGAGGTCCCCGGGCCTGCAGGTGGGGGGCTGGGACTCCATGGGCTCTGGCCTCGGGGTCTGGGTGCAGCCTCCCTCAGCCAGCCCTCTCTGAAGCCCCGCGCAGGCCAAGGAGGGCCCTTGGCTGTGCATGTGGGTGTGGCCGGCGGCCGCCCGTGCCCCACGTCCCGTGTGGGTTCGAGCTCACGGCCGGTGCCATCCATGAAGACCTTGTCCTTCAGCGGAGCCTGTCCCCCAGGTGGAACGGGACGTGAACAAGCGGACGCTCCGAATGCCGCACCAGCTCTTCATCGGGGGGGCCTTTGTGGATGCCGAGGGCGGCAAGACCTGCGACACCATCAACCCGACAGACGGAAGTGTGAGTGAGGCCCGCCGCCTCCCTGCCCCGGGCCGCCCACGTGGTCTCTGGGGCCTGCTTGCACTGCATCTCAGATGGCCGGAGGAGCCCCGGTCCGCCCCCTGGCCGTCCTGCAGGAGGGGAGGCAAAGAGTGGGAGGGGAGGGGCGCTACTTCTGAGACTGGGGGCAGGGCTACCCCAGGAGGAGAGGAGGCCTCAGCCCAACGTGGGGGGCCCTGCTCTGATATGTAATGGCCCAGCGAGCGCTGGCGAGCTTTCTGGGATCGAATCCCGTGTTTGCCACATTCCCGACTACAGACCTCGTGGGAGGACACGTGTGCTGCCCATGTACTGGGCGACTGGGAGTGCACGCCAGTGTGTACACAGCGTGACAGTGTGAAGTGTGAAGGTGTGGCATGTACACGTGGGTGGCGTGAAGTGTGAGTGTGCAATGTGTGCGTGGGGACAGTGGAGCCTGTACACGTGGGCAGCGTGAGGCGTGGATGTGGGGCGTGTGCGTGCGGGCAGTGTGAATGCGAGTGTGCGGCGTGTGTGCGTGGGCACAGTGAGGTGCGAGTGTGCGGCATGTGTGCGTGGGCACAGTGAGGTGCGAGTGTGCGGCGTGTGTGCGTGGGCACAGTGAGGTGCGAGTGTGCGGCATGTGTGCGTGGGCACAGTGAGGTGCGAGTGTGCGGCATGTGTGCGTGGGCACAGTGAGGTGCGAGTGTGCGGCATGTGTGCGTGGGCACAGTGAGGTGCGAGTTGCGGCGTGCGCGTGGGCACCGTGAAGCGCGAGTGTGCGGCATGCGCGTGGGCACCGTGGAGCGCGAGTGTGCGGCGTGTGCGTGGGCACCATGGAGCGCGAGTGTGCGGCGTGCGCGTGGGCGCCGTGGAGCGCGAGTGTGCAGCGTGTGCGTGGGCGCCGTGGAGCGTGAGTGGGGAGCCTGAGTGCCAAGTCCGGAGAAGACAGCCTCGCTCTGCTCCTGCACAGGTCATCTGCCAGGTTTCGCAGGCCCAGGTCAGTGACGTGGACAAGGCGGTGGCTGCGGCGAAGGAAGCCTTCGAGAGCGGACAGTGGGGCAAGATCAGCGCCCGGGACCGGGGCCGGCTCCTGTACAGGTGCAGGCCCACCCTCCATCAGGCCTCGGCCCGGGGGGCATGGGCTGCTCCTGCCAAGGCTCCCTGCCTGGAGGAGTGGGTGCTGGGAGGCCATGCGGCCGAGGCCTCAGACCTGGGAAGGGGGTCCCAGCTGACTCGGAGGGGCTCCTTAGAGGAAGGGGCTGTCTTGGCAGGCAGGAGCTGCCTCGGGGGAGAGCTGCCCAGCCAGGTGAGGCACACGCCCACACCGGGCAGAGCATAGGGCACCTGGGCTGCCTGGCCCGAGGGACTCGGGCTCTGTGCACAGCCGGCACTGAGGGGCTGGGCCCTGGTTGCTGCTCAGCCTGGCTTAGGCTGTGGGGTCTCTTGGGCTCACGGTTTTCTTCTTTTTGTTTAAGTTTATTCCCCTGAGTGGGGGAGTGAGAGAGAGACCCCAGCAGAGCCCTCATCCTGACCCACCCCCAGTCCTGGCTGGCACAGGTCATGGCGTGGGCTGGTGCTCAGGGCGTGGCCGTGCTCTGTGAGCCAGTGACCAGAGAGGGACAGAACGAGGGAGGGAAAGTGCAACAGCAAGCTGCCAGGTCCAGGGCTGGACCCGCGGTCGGCCATGGGAGTCCAGCACCCTCAACCGCCACGCCCCCTGCCGGCCCCTTTTGTAAAAGTTCGTAGACCAGGAGGACAGGGCCTTGCCTGTAGCTGCAGCTCAGAAGCCTCGGGGACAGGACTCAGCACTGCTGTAGCCGAGGGCCAGGAGGGCGGGAGCTGGGAGCGGCTGGGCCCCTGGGATGACAGGCTGGGAGGAGTGTGCACCCAGGAGAAGGGGGCGGTACTCGGGTTAGGGGTGCAGCCGGTGGGCTGCCGTGCCAGGAAAAGCCTGCCACACTCCCTCAGGGCCGACACAGCTCTCTGGCCCAGGGTAGCGTTTGAGGGTGGGGTGTGACATGGCCCCAGAGTGGCCTGTCACCTGGCAGGAGGGCACCTTGGCCTCAGTCACAGTGGCTCCTGAATTTATTCTGGAGGCCAGAAATCCTGGGCAGCCCAGAAGCAGGGGCTGCACGTTTTACAGAGTGGGGCTGCAGGCCCGGGCTGCCAGGGCTGAGGGGGCCGCCCGCCCCGCAGCTGGTCGCAGGCCCCTTGGAGACCATCCACTTCACACGTGACTCCCAGGCCAGCTGGCCGCTGTTGGGGTGAGCCTTCTGGCCTGCTGCAGTGATGCCCACCATGGGTCCAGGCACCCCAGGAGGGAACGGTGCAGAATACCCCAGATCAGCCAGGAGCAGGGACTGCATGGAATAAGGCCCTGCCCGGGGCCAGGCAGCTGGGAAGAGAGGTCCATGGGAGAGTGAGGAGGGGTGAGGGGTGGTGGCTCCACTCGCTCGGACACTCTATGGCTCGTGGGGAGACCTGCTGGCCCGGAGCTGCTCATCAGGGGGCTGGCAGGAGGGCAGGCTGAGCCGAGGGCACCTTCACCCTGTCCTTCACCCTTCCCTCCAGGTTAGCCTGGCCCCTGAGGGAGGGGCTGGGGTACAGGGGTGCAGCTGGAGTAAGGCAAGGATGAGAGTGGAGCAGCCGCCACCAGAGCCTCCAGAATGGCACACTCTCCTGGCGGTCACATGAATTGCATCCGTGCTGTGGCCACATCACACACGGGCGGCCTTGCCTAAGCGTGTCAGGGCTCGGAGGTCTGGGACTGAGAAGCCGGCCCAGCTGGCCCTGTAGGTGGCACAGAGACAGCCGTGGGAGAGGACAGCCCCTCTGAGCTGGGACCTTCCAGGGGCTGCGTCAGGCTCACTCGGGGTGCTGTGTGCCCCAGGCCCTGCGTGATTGGTGGCCCCAGCTGGGCCTGTGCAGCCGGAGACATGCTCGTGCGCTTTCCAGCCGGTCAGGCCTCCCCGCACCAGGCCTATGTGTGTCCGGGAGCCAGGGCAGCTGCACTAAGAGGCCAATCAGGGCGAGAAGGCCCCGCCGAGGGTGCCTCCATCTGCCTCTCACAGAAAAGAAAAAGCTAAAACTATGAAAAGAAGATGGTCAGCAGGTGGCGTGGGGGTTAAGGCGCAGGGTCCTGCTTGCTGACTCCATGGTTCAAGTCCTAGACCCAGTGGCTCGAGACACAGGCCGTACACAAGCACGTGTGAGCCCCAGATCCCAGGACCGAAGGTGAAGGGGCTGCAGCGCGGCCACCTCCCTGGGCGACTTCTCACTTTCCGTCTCTGCACCCCACCCTGAGCAAAATCTAGAAAAGAAGAAGAAAGAAAAGAAAGAGAGGGAGGACGAGGGGCCTGCAGGTGGGCAGCGGCAGCAGCTCTGCCTGTCTCTGACCAGCTGTCCTGTGTGCAGACCAGACTGTCCTAGGCTGTGGGACATCCCCCCGGAGACAAGCTGTGTGGCCGCACCTTCCCTGCCTCTCATGGTCCCTCCCTGTCATCCCTGCTCAGGGCCAGGGGACACCTGCCCTGGATGGGACGGTGGTTTGGTTGGTGCTGTCTGCCGGGGACGCTGTCAGGACCTGGGGGAGGGTGGCCTCTGGGGATGGGGTCTCTGCACAGGGCAGGTCTGCAGGGCTGCCTGGGGATTACAGAGCAGTCAGCCATGACCTCAGGAAGGGATGAGGGGAAGAGAGAGGGGCAGAGGGTCCCAACTACAGACGAGGAACCAACGTCAGCATGTGGCACCGCAGCCGTGGGGTGGGGCTGGGCCCCGGCTCCTTGAGCAAGGGCCTCCTGTGGGCCTCAACCGGCCGCCCACCTTCACCCCGGCCAGGCTGGCGGACCTCATGGAGCTGCACCAGGAGGAGTTGGCCACCATCGAGGCCCTGGATGCAGGAGCCGTCTACACACTGGCCCTGAAGACCCACGTGGGCATGTCCATCCAGACCTTCCGCTACTTTGCTGGCTGGTGTGACAAAATCCAGGTGGGTGGCCCCCTGCCCACGGGGCGTGCTGGCGGGCAGCCAGGCCCGGAGGCGCTGTGGGGACGGGGAGGCGTACACTGAGCCTTCATTAGCACTGTGGCCTGCAGCTGGGAATCAGGCAGCTCGGCCTCGCTCCAGGCCAGGGTCACCCAGACCGAGGCTAAGATCCAGTGGCCGGGCACTTAGCGGAAGCTCTGGGGGAGCCCCTCCCCGGCCGTGCGGTGCCAGCAGTGGGTGCCGACTCCGAGCCCAGGCCGCCGGCTGCTCCGGAGGCCTCTCCTGGCCCTTGCCATGGCCTCATCTCCTGCTGCAGCCTCCGTCGCCCTGGTGGCCTCCATCCTGGCGTGTCGTCCTCGGCTGCGGAACTGCCTGCTCTGGGGCCTCCCGGGCTACTCTGGGCACTGCGTCGCGTCCCCCCACGTTCAGGCCTGCCAGGACACACAGCGTCTGGGCGGGGCCTCGCCATATTCCCAGGTCCTGGGTCAGGCATGGGACCTGGGTCCATTCTGGAGGTTCCCTGGGGAGACCCCGCTGGACCCGGGCGGGCTCAGGCCTTGTCCCTGCAGAGACCAGCCTCCTGCCGGGCTCTGCCTGCCAGCCCCTCCCACGGCCGCCCGCCCTCCCGGACCTCCTCAGACCTCCCCATCGTGTCCAACTTCATAGTGGGGACAAGGATGTGGACAGAATCCGGTCCCCCCAGGCCAGTGGAAGGGTGAGCACGGAGACCCCAGGGCCCCCGTGACCTTTGAACTTCTCTCAGGGCTCCACCATCCCCATCAACCAGGCCAGACCCAACCGCAACCTGACCCTCACCAGGAAGGAGCCTGTTGGGTGAGTCCCTGCCGGAGCAGGTGCAGCCAGGGCGGCTGCGTGACGGGGGTCCCGGCAGCATCGCCCTCAGACGTGTTCGCTGCAGCCTGCCATCCGCTCCCCCTGGCTTCCCTGCTGGCCGCACTGCCGAAGCCCTCCAGCCAACGTGTGTGAGGCCGAGGCACTGCTGGGCAGCCGCGGGGAGCACACACCCATAGCAGCCGCAGACACGGGCCTGGGCTCCGCGCTCCGTGGCCGGGACCACGCGGGGCCGGGTCTGGTCCTCCGCCCCACCTAAGGCCAGGGGATCCTTGACTGAAGGGACTGGGAGGCCGAGGCAGGACTGTCAGAAGCCCAGGGCTGACCTAGGCCGGAACCCGGGGGCTGGCAAGGCCAGCCGAGAGACCCTGCTGTTACAGTTACCATTTAGAGCCGTGATAGTGAACCGTGCATAGACAGAGCCGTCAGCAACAGGACAGCCCCACCGCCACAGGGGCCAAATTCACAGGCCACCGTGCAGTGCCTCCATCTCACCACCAGACGGCGCCAGAGCAGGCAGCAGGGACGCGCACCGCCCTGCCCCGCCTTCACCAACTGGCACCTCTGCACACTCCACAGGCACGCCCAGACCAAATGTCAGGACCCTGCCGAGTGTGGCTCAGAGAGGGGCCGGGAGGGGCGGGGTCCCCTGGCCAAGCACAGGCTGAGGAGGAAACTGACTGTCACCAGGGCCACCCGGCCACCCTGGCAGGCTGGCGTGAATGCGGGCTCTGGGAGCCTGCAGCACCCCAGTGTGGACGCATCCTGCCCCAGGCCTGGCGCCAGCACCCCCCACCAACAGGGCCCCCAAAGGCAGGCAGGGAGGGGCCATTCTTGCCCCTGCACCGGGGGCTGGGACTCCAGAATCCATGGTCCCACCGGCTGCCCACTGCCTGGCAGGAGGCTGCGGCACCCCAGGCTTCAGCTCCTCAGCCTCACAGGACCCAGCGCGGGAACCGCAGCTCCTCCCACCCTGGCCACACTCCCAGCCTCACTCCTAGCCTTGCCGCCTGTCTTTCGGATCGGCTTGGCCGTGCCAGCCATCTGAGTCCCTAGGACTCCATGCCCGTGCCCCTTGGACACTGCCCCCCTTCCCAGCCCTCATCATCGGCTTCTGGTCCCCAGGTCTGGGCTGTGATGCGCCCCCACCCCAAGCCTTGTGCTCTGTCTCTGCTCTCTGAGCCCAGAGTTCTCTGACATGCCATCTGAATCTGTGCCGGCACGTCCCCAGGCTGGCATAGCCCAACACACTTGTGCCACACCAGTACTTGCAGATGGACGGGTGTTGGGGCGGTGAGAGGGCAGTTCGGCCAGCTGGACTCTCCCGCCCTGAGGCCTGTGCCCACCCACCTGGGCCCTGAGCCCGCCGGCCACATGGACGCCCAGGCCTGGCTCAGCTGTCCCCAGCTGCAGAGCCGGGCTGTGTAAGGGCCACCACATGCAGGGCAGGGCGTAGCCAACACGTCCCAGATTGGGCGTCAGAGGGAGGGGCCGGCTCCGGGCCCTTCCCAGGTCCCCAAGGGCTCACTGGCCATCTCTGGGGTCCATCTCTGGTGTCCCTTGGCTTAGCTGCATCACCAGGGTCTCAGCCTCCGCCGTGACCTGGCATTTTCCCCACAAGAGGAGTTGCAAAGTTCTCGGGAAAACGGACCTGCAGAACAAGCTTGCCCTGGTGCCGAACATCCTGAGTGCCACCGTTCTCACCCCGTGCCCTCCCTGTGTGCGCTCTGAAGGGCCTCCCCTGACCGCCCACGTCCCCAATGCCCATACCTCCTGGCGGGGCCCGCCCTCAGCTCTGGGGTTGGGGCTACAGCATGTGAGTCTGGGGGACACAGTTCAGCCCTGGGGGTGGCCCTCTATGTGCAGACTCCCCCACCAGCTGCGTCCTGCTCCCTGGACTCCAGCCCTCTGGGCCCCGTGTCTGCTGGCGTTCGGGGGTGGAGCACGGGGAGCAGACGAGGGGGTGGCCCGGCTGGTGCCCAGCAGGACCCGGGGACGAGGGCTGTCTCTCCTGC